AGAGGAGGGGGGGGAGCTGCCGAGGTTGCACAGGCCAGGCCGCATCGCTTGTCCCTTCCACTGAAGACACCTCGAGCACCACGAGCCCAGGCTGTGACTCTGCCCTGCTATGCTCAGTGTAGCGGGGCCAGGGGGGATCCCGGAGGTCATCCCCTGCCTGCGGGACACAGCAGAAAACCCTGTCACTGCAGGGGACCTGCCCTGGCCTTACTGAGGTGGTTAAGACTCTGGGCTCCCCCAGCACTGCACTGCTTGGTCTGAACCCCGGAGAAGGAAGGAGCCTTTGCCTGTGGCTGTCCCAGCACTCACCCCAACGATGCTGTTCAGCTCCCCCATGGTCACCTGCTTGGCCCGCTCCACAGCCTGTAGGACCTGCTGCTGGTGCTAAGAAGGAAGATCACAGGGAAGGTCACACTGTGCTCCTGGCCAGAGGGACCACACAGCCCAGCATCGCCCCAGACACCCGGGGCTGCACAGCCCCGTCTCCCATCCCTCCAGCCCAGGTACAGAGTTTTTCCCATCCCAAACCTCCCCTTGCTTAGAACAGACTCAAGTTCACTCCTTCCCAAGGACTTCAAGAGAAGCCTGCGCAGTATGGTGCACAACCCCTGCCTCCTCCCTTACCTCCTGTGTCAGAAAGGGTATAATCTGGGCACAGATGGCACTCAGTCTCTTGACAATCTCTGCCTGAAAGAGGAAGCAGGTATCACCAGGGATGGGAGGGCTCTGAGCCCCATCCCCTCCAGTGGAGAGAAGGACAGCCAAGCGTTCTGCACAAACAGCAGCCTCTGTGGAGGAGTTAAATCCTCCCTGCTGCACTGGCCCAGTGTAAATCCTCCCGCTGCCTTTGCGTCCCTCCTGGGATTTCCCTAAGCTGCTGCCAAGGGACGACTCTGCCCAGGGCTGTGGGACCCTCCCAGGCTGTCAGGTCCCCCCAGGCACATAGGAGAGAACCCAGCTCCTAAATCTCTTTGTGGCTCCAGGCCAAGTCGAGCTGGGCTGTCAGTCTTTCACAGCCCAGCTGGCTCTGCTCAGCCCAAACTCATCTTGGCTTTGTGGGCTGCCGCTCTCGCAGCCAGCGGGCAGGCTGGCAGGGAAGGAGGGGAGCTGAGCCACAAGCTCTGGCAGCAGGCCACGGCATGCTGCTTGTTCTCTCCCAGAACATCAGACTCAAAGCCAGCAGGAGAGCAAGGAGGATGCAAAATTCACACGAACAAATTCAGCCCTCTCACACTGCACCAGCCTGAAAGGCAGCAACAGTGGTACCTGCTCTAACCCTCTGACCCCAGCTGGAGCACAGGTCCCTGCTGCCACCCCTGCAAAGCCTGGGGCCAGCGGGCAGCTCACCCTGCTCCAGGGAGCAGAGGCACAAGGACCCCAGTATCTGTCACCTGCTCAGCAAAAGGCAGCGAGGAAACGCAGAGGACCTGGCATGTCCTCTCGGCTGCGGTTGCCGGCAGAACCCCAAGCCCAGCCGCATCCCTACCAGGCATTTCCCAAGGGAAGGGGCTGTGGCTTCCAGCCCAGGCTCTCCAGAAGAAAACTCACGCCTCCCAGGAGAACCTGATCCCCCACACCCGCTGCAAATCCAGCCTGGCACTGGCCAAGTCTCTGAAGTGTTTTCTCATCTCAGGTTTCCAACAATCCCCGGCAGCATTGCAGAGAGGTCAAACCATGCCCAAAGCCAGCAAAGAACAAATGGAACATTTACCTGCTGTGCTCAAAGGCTGCCTGCACTCCGGGAGCACACCCGTGCCCGACACCGCCCCAGTCACCCACTGGTCCCACAGCTGCTGTGTCAGCCACCTCCCCGACACCCATGCAGGACCCCAGGCACCAGAGACCCCCATCCTCCAGACCCTTCCTGCCCATGCAGAGCCAGGATCTGGACCCAGGTGGGCCAGGCTATCACCTCTGTTGCCTCATGGGCTGAGTCCCTGGCACTGCACAGCTTGGGCCACCCCAGGTCCCAACCTGCGTGCTAGTTCCACTGGAGCTCAGAGCACGTGGGGATGGCAGGAACATGCTCACGGGTTCTACAACTCCTTGCTAACAAAAGGAGCAAACTCGGAGGGGCTGAGCCAGCTGGAGGAATATGGCAGTTGACTTGCCACTTTGTCAGGCACTGGTCCAAACTAATTTCCCTGGCAGAGAGCCCGTGATGACTAGATTGATAAATCTGAAGAGGGAAAGCAAATTAACACTGGAACAAAAGGGGAACCAAGGAAGGGTGAAAACACTCCTCTGGCTTCAGGAAAGGAAAAGGGGATTAAAAAAGCAGAAAAGAAAGACAATCCATTTGCCTCTGGGCTCCAGCTCTTGCTGTTTCCTCAACACTCCCTCCTGTGTCTGGGGGCCCCAGGGAACTGCTTTGGGGAGGTACCATACACAGGGCTCCCAGCCAGGCTCTGAGCAATGCTTGGGGGTGGCGGGGAGGAGGCTCTGTCCCAGGGCACCTACCAGGACTTAGTACTGCACATCCTGCCAACTGCTGAACTCCTCTGTTGATGAGTCTCTCGCACAGAGCCATACTAGGTCTCCCATGCCATTACAGTTACACACACACAAGAGAGAATTTTCCAAGAAGCCTCCATCCTCAGCTTGCTCCCTGCCAACCCCTGCTGCTGGCACAGACCCCACCTCATGTACCTGCTTGTGCATTTCAATGTTCAGCCCGTAGGACATCTCATAGTACTGAAAGGAAAATCACAACATAGCCTGGTTAGGAGCTGCCCAGACCAATTGGCCAGTTCCCAGACCCTGCTCCTCCCAGCAAAGCTCCACTGCTGCTGCTGAGGGTCCCTGCTCCCCCAGGCCCATGGGGAGCCAAGAAAAAAAGGAAGAGGAAAGGAAAAGACAGACAGGAAAAAGACAGGAAAAAGACAGGAAAAAGACAGGAAAAAGACAGGAAAAAGACAGGAAAAAGACAGGAAAAAGACAGGAAAAAGACAGGAAAAAGACAGGAAAAAGACAGGAAAAAGACAGGAAAAAGACAGGAAAAGGCCCCGAGCCACGAGCCTGGAATAAGGTAGGGAGCAGCTACAGCATAGACTGTTTCATGTTTACTCTGTTATTTCTGCATTAGTTTAAGCCAGCCCTACTGCCCCCCCATCCCCTCTTGTCCCTTTCCACTCCCAACCCAGACTCAGACCAGATGGAGTTGCCCATCTAGTCACACATGTGGCCATGCCTCTGCAAAAGCAAAGATGACATTGGGTTACACCTTTCACCAGTCACTAGGGACTCTGGCAGTGGTGACAGCAGCAGACCCTGTCCCCTTACCCCTGAGGACAGGAAGAAAAGGGGACCAGAGGACATGTTTTCCTTCAGCAAAGCCCATTTCAAAGATATAAGCCCACCTCTGGGAATCCCTGAGCCTCTGGGATGTGGGAAGGGATCCTAGCTGGAACATGTCCTGCAATGCTGATAAAGCCTATTATACCCCTGGCATCATGGACAGGGCTGTTATTGTCCAGGGGGTGGAGGACTGCCCAAGTTGAGGTATGTTTGCCTTTTGGATGGCATAATTTCGGTTCCCCCTTTCCCTTAGAGGGGCCAGTAATGTCAGATACTGAAGGAGAGGGAATACTGCTCCAGCTCTGCCGTTCCCATCCTCTTCCCTCATTCCAGAAACTACATCCCCTCCTGCCAGGGCTGCTGAAGGCCTGGCTCTGGCCGATGCCCAGACAGGTTGGTGCCAGAGCCTGTTAACACCACAGTGGCAACTGTGGAGGGCTCCTGCTCTGCTCCTTCTAAAGGCAGCTTCCCCTACCACCCAAAACACCAGCCTTGGGATGTCCCTTTCAAGACACTTCCCCTTGGGAGAGAGACAGGGAGAAGGGGAAGATCTCTTAAAGGGCCAACAGAAAAGGGGAAGGGCAAAAAAAGAAAAGAGACAAAACCTATGGCATAATTTCTGGGCTCAAGCAGCAGTGTGGCAGCAGCCATCAGCAGAAGAGCCGGCTGTTGCTACGAATAACAATTAACTCCTTCCTAACTCCTGCACTCCCAGCCCCACCACTCAGGCCAGACCCTGGCCAGGCACTGCCCAGGCAGGGGTGGGCTCAGGGTGGCCGCTGACCCCTTGGTGTGAGCAGCTGAGCAGGGCCCTGGATCATGGGGACCTCACCAGAGGGTGGCAGCCAGGGATGTGCTGGGGGAGGTGAGGGGGACAGGGCAGGGGTGGCTCACCATGACATAATGTCTCTGCATCTCCGTCTTCTCGCTCACCAGCTTCTCACATTCCAGCTTCAGGCTACAAAGAGCATCCATGGTTTTCACTCACGGACCTACATCTCTGGTTCCCACCTTCCACCCCACAACCTCAGCAAGCTCTGCACACCTCCGCCTCCCGCCGCAGCTTCCTGGTGCCGTGGGGGTGTCACACGCCCAATCCTCACTAGCATCACCATCCCTTGGGAATCCAAACCCCTGCGACTCTCCTGCCCATGCAGACCCACTTCTCCCTGGGGTGTCTGTCACACCCACCCATGCAGCGCTCCCGCAGCACCGCTGTGGTCCCCTCCACCTCACCCTATACCCAGCTCAGCCGGAGCACCCATTTCTCCATCTTCTCCTGCCCCAGTTCTCCCCCTGGTCTACATCTCATCTTTTCCTTGTGCCCAGACTCCCCTCTCCCCATGCCCTCAGTCCTGTTACGCCCCTTCCCTGTCTGCTCGCCGCTGCCCGCGGCCTTGTGTGACCCGTGGCCACCTCCTGCCCCACACCACCACTTAAACCAGGGGGCCCTGCAGCCCGGCTCTGCCCCTCACCTGTGGTACTGGGCCTGCAGGAACTGAAATTCCTCCTTGATGCGATCGCAGATTTCCAGGACCGAGAACTTGAAGGGCTGCCCAGGCTGGAGAGGGGTCTGGGGGAAGAC